CGCATTATATCGGTGCCCTGTCTTACCGCAATTCCAACAGGCTAATTTAAAATTGGATTCACCGGGGTAATCCCGATTCGCGTTGGCCTCGACCGTAGCCATAGCTTGCTCGGAAGTTGCGGACCTTCGCACGTTCTTTCCGCTCCTCCTTTTAGCGTCACGCGGTGTCGACGTGGCCGCTCTTTTAACGCGATCGGTACTCGAGACGTTGTTGTTCCGGGATTTATCTGAATTCGTTTGCTTAGGTGTGTCTCGTGGCCGCTGTGTTGCCTCTCCTACGTGAACTAGTATCCCGATACGCTAGGGCTGGCAAAAGCGACTGATCCGGCGACGGCGGTTCGCGATACTGTCGGGACAATGAGAACGTGCGTTCGACGCATTTAGCGAAACTCGTAAGGGTCCTCATGTCTTCCGCGTCGCGTGGAGAGATCGCGAGTTGATATCGGGGTAGGAGATTTCGGTGGGCATAAGCTACTTGCTCCTGCTCCGACCATGGTGGATCTAGCCTTCGGAACATGGCGCGAATACACGTAAGGTAGTCGGCAACGGGCTCATTTTTCCCTTGAGTTCGCTTAACGATCTCTTCCCGTAAGGCGACCTGAAAGTCTGAGTCGCTAAACCGAGCGCGAGCTTCCGTTACAAAATCTGACCAGTCCTGAGAATACTCTCGCTCATCGCGGAACCATAATAAGGCGACCCCGGATAGGAAGAGTGGCATACAACGCAATAGATCTTCATCCGGGATGGGAATAATCCCTCTTCCTTCCTCTACTTGGGCGATGAATTCTTCAACATCCTCTCCGCGAGTTCCCGAGAATTTCAAGTCCCACTTACGCATGGTATTATACGCGGTAGTCGCGGCCGTAGAATCCGTAAATGAATGGCGTCCCTCCGAGGGACCCTGTTCTGACATTGTTTCTTGCGACCGTAACTGCGTTTGTTCTTCCCGATACGCGGGATGTATCGTGACGCGTCGCGGAGATGTCTCCTGTTGATCGGGACTAAGTTCTTGGGGTTCCGACATAATGGAGCTTTGCGACAGACTCAGAGATAAGTCTACACACTCTGGGGTTCGCGGCGACGGAAGTTCACCGCGTTCATACTGCAATTGCCTGATTAATCGGACTCGTAAGACTGGGGTTATTCCCTGTATCGAAAGATTCCTGCGACGAAGTTCGATTTCTAGTTCCCTGCGGCTAAGTAGAAAAGTCCACGCGTCGTCGTTCACAACACGAGAGATACGCCGAGAGCTAGTCCGTACGCATGCACTCGATTAGTACAGTGGGCGACCTTTTCGTTCTACCCGCTTGTAGAGTACACGATACTATAGCGCCTACGATATTATAGGAGATACGTTACTATGGAGTTTACGACACTGGGACAATACTATACTAGGCTTTGTCTATTCCTTTGCCCGGGCGCGCGCGAACGTAAACAATCGCTATCGGGATTATCCTTTCGAAGAATTCGTTACTATTCCTGAACGTTAAATATTTCTTGGGTTCTCAATCCACGATATGCTACGAGTTATTAATTTAGAATGTTCTAATTTTCATTGGCGTGGCCCCACATTGGGCGCCAATTATTTGTGACGTGATTTTCTTCCTCAAACCGCCTCGTAGCAAGACGATCCGATCGCGTTCTTCTACGCTCCCTGGCGTAACCTTCGGCTGCTTTCCTCCGACGATACTAGAGAGGATGACTTCTCTCTGATGGTTGCTTCCTCGGTGTTAAGTTGGCTCGACGTATCGCATGAAAGTTATAGTATACAAAAACAATTAGCCTAATCTCATTATATTTATTAATCGGGACCCTGGAGTTCTTGGCCGGTACAGTCGGATATTATCTCTCCCGAGGGACGGTACTGCGTCCCGTGATCAAGAGCACGCGAGTACCACATCGGGACTTTTGTGGCGTTAAAAATTAACGTCACAATCTATATATATATATATATATATATATTGTGACGTGGTGGATTTCACCCGTCTTGTCCTCGGCGGAAAATCACGCCGAAACGCGATATGGGCCGAAAGGCCATTGCAAAGTCCAGGCAGGATCCACCGACCGCAAGGGCCTAATTGAAAGTCGATAGATTATTTTATTATTTTCTTTTGTGTTGCGTGTACTCTGCCGGAGTTCGAATAGGTGCTCGCTCGCCGTGCCCGTGAAGACGCGGAGAACGAGAGAGAGGGAGCCAGCTGGAGTCCCTGGAGGAAGGGAGCTGCGACACGCGAGGGTCGACACTCGCGCTATCTGCGGACAGCAGCTCTACTGGCCCAGGAGGCGCGCGCAACGCGGGACAGGCTTGACGTCACGCGGCAGCAACGCGCTCTACTCCGCTGGTACTCAACCACGACGACTGGAAGCGGCGTACACAGCGCCACCCGACTGAG